GATCAAGACCTGGAGACAAGAAATCAAATGATTTGCCAGGACCTCCTGACTTCAGGGGCTTCCCAGATGGCACTAGTGGTAAAGAAGCCACCTGCCAATGCAGGAGACTTGTGTTTGATCCCTGGGTCAGGAAGATCCCCTGGAGGAGGGCTTGGCAATCCACTCCAGTGTTCTTGCCTGGAAAATCCCATGGACAGAGGAGCCTGGTGGGCTACAGTCCATGGGGTCAAAAAAGAGTCGGACACAACTAAAGCAACTTAGCATGCACACATCCTAACTTCAGCCTGTAAGATTTTCTTCTAGACTATGTCCACTGTATTCTTTATATATATATACACACACATAAAGAAGGACTTTATTTATTTTCATATCATCTTTATTTTATCATCTTTACTTGTTTATATCATCTTGGGTGACCCTACATGGCACAGCTCATATTTTCATTGAGTTAGACAAGGCTGTGGTCCATGTGATCAGTTTGATTCGTTTCCTGTGATTGTGATTTTCATTCTGTCTGTCCTCGGACAGATAAGGATAAGAGGCTTATAGAAGCTTCCTGATGGGAGAGACTGACTGCCAGGGGGAAACTGGATCTTGTTCTGATGGGCGGGGCCATGCTCAATAAATCTTTAATCCAATTTTCTGTTGATGGGCGGGGCTGTGTTCCCTCCCTGTTGTTTGACCAAACTATGGTAGGGGTCATGAAGAGCCTCTTGATGAAAGTGGAAGATGAGAACCAAAAAGCTGGCTTAAAACTCATCATTCAAAAAGCAAAGATCATGGCATCAAGTCCTATTGCTTCATGGCAAATAGATGGGAAACAGTGGAAACAGTGACAGACTTTATTTTCTTGGGCTCCAAAACCACTGCAGATGGTGACTGCAGTCATGAAATTAAAAGACGCTAGGCTCCTTGGAAGAAAAGCTATGACCAACCTAGACAGCATATTAAAAACCAGAGACGTTACTTTGCTGACAAAAGTCCACCTAGTCAAAGCTGTGGCTTTTCCAGTAGTCATGTATGGATGTGAAAGTTCAGTTCAGTCGCTCAGTCGTGTCCGACTCTTTGCGACCCCATGAACCACAGCACACCAGGCCTCCCTGTCCATCACCAACTGCTGGAGTCTACCCAAACCCATGTCCATTGAGTCAGTGATGCCATCCAGCCATCTCATCCTCTGTCATCCCCCATTCTTCCTGTCCTCGATCTTTCCCAGCATCAGGGTCTTTTCAAATGAATCAGCTCTTCACATCAGGTGGCCAAAGTATTGGAGTTTCAGCTTCAACATCAGACCTTCCAATGAACACCCAGGACTGATCTCCTTTAGGATGGACTAGGTCGGATCTTCTTGCAGTCCAAGGGACTCTCAAGAGTCTTCTCCAACACCGCAGTTCAAAAGCTTCAATTCTTCGGCGCTCAGCTTTCTTTATAGTCCAGCTCTCACAGTCATACATGACTACCGGAAAAGCCATAGCCTTGAGTATACGGACCTTTGTTGACAAAGTAATGTCTCTTCTTTTTAATATGCTGTCTAGGTTGGTCATAACTTTCCTTCCAAGGAGTAAGCGTCTTTTAATTTCATGGCTGCAGTCACCATATGCAGTGACTTTGGAGCCCAGAAAAATAAAGTCTGACACTGTTTCCACTGTTTGCCCATCTATTTGCCATGAAGTGATGGGACTGGATGCCATGATCTTAGTTTTCTGAATGTTGAGCTTTAAGCCAACTTTTTCACTCTCTTCTTTCACTTTCATTAAGAGGCTCTTTAATTCTTCTTCACTTTCTGCCATAAGGGTGGTGTCATCTGCATATCTGAGGTTATTGATATTTCTTCCAGCAATCTTGATTCCAGCTTGTGCTTCCTCTAGCCCAGCATGTCTCATGATGTACTCTGCATATAAGTTAAATAAGCAGGGTGACAATATACAGCCTTGACATACTCCTTTTCCTATTTGGAACCAGTCTGTTGTTCCATGTCCAGTTCTAACTGTTGCTTCCTGACCTGCATACAGGTTTCTCAAGAGACAGGTCAGGTGGTCTGGTATTCCCATCTCCTTCAGAATTTTCCACAGTTAATTGCGATCCACACAGTCAAAGGCTTTGGCATAGTCCATAAAGCAGAAATAGATGTTTTTCTGAAACTCTCTTGCTTTTTCGATGATCCAGCGGATGTTGGCAATTTGATCTCTGGTTCCTCTGCCTTTTCTAAAACCAGCTTGAACATCTGGAAGTTCACGGTTCACAAAATGCTGAAGCCTGGCTTGGAGAATTTTGAGCATTACTTTACTAACGTGTGAGATGAGTGCACTTGTGCGGTAGTTTGAGCATTCTTCCATGTGAAAGTTGGGACTATAAAGAAAGCTGAGTGCTGAAGAATCGTTGCTTTTGAACTGTGTTGCTGGAGAAGACTCTTGAGAGTCCCATGAACTGAAAGGAGATCAAACCAGCCAATCCTAACGGAAATCAGTCCTGAATAATCATTGGAAAGACTGATGCTGAAACTGAAACTCCAATACTTTGGCCACCTGATGTGAAGAACTAACTCATTGGAAAAGACTCTGATGCTGGGAAAGATTGAACATGGGAAGAGAAGGGGACGACAGAGGATGAGATGGTTGGATGGCATCACCAACTCAATGGACATGAGTTTGAGGAAGCTCTGGGAGTTGGTGATGGGCAGGGAGGCCTGGTGTGCTGCAATCCATGGGGTCGCAAAGAGGTGGACACAACTGTGACTGAACTGAACTGAACTGTTGGGTCTTTGTTGCATCAGCAGGATCTTTCCTTATAGCCCACGGACTCTCTAGTTGTAGCACAATGGCTCCAGAGTGTGCAGGCTTCGGTAGCTGCAGTGAGCATGCTTGGTTGCTCCACAGCATGCAGCATCTTAGTTCCCTGACCAGGGATGGAACCCACATCCCCTGCATCTCAAGGCAGATTAACCACTGGACCACCTAGGAGGTCCCATGCCCACTGTATTCTTGATTTGATTTTTTAAACTTTGGAGGAAAAGGAAGAAATTTTCATAGTCTTGAAACTCATTGGATTTATATGAAAACATGGTTTCCCAAACTGTATTTCATACAATAGTAGTTCTATGAGATATTTTTGTGCTCAGTTGCTCAGTTGTGGCTGACTCTTTGCGACCCCATGTATTGTAGCCCACCAGGCTCCTCTCTCCATGGGATTTCCCAGGCTAGAATACTGGAGGGGGTTGCCATTTTTAAACATTAAATCAGATTTTTTTTAAAGTTTGCATTTAGTTACTCCCGGGTAGCTCAGCTGGTAAAGATCCGGCTGCAGCAGCAGAGATCCCAGTTCAATTCCTGGGCCTGGAAGTTCGCCTGGAGAAGGAATGGCCTACAGACTCCAGTGTTGCTGGGCTTTCCTGGTGGCTCAGACTGTAAAGAATCCGCCCGCAGTGCGGGAGACCTGAGTTCGACCCCTGGGTCGGGAAGATCCCCTGGAGGAGGGCATGGCAACCCACTCCAGTATTCTTGCCTGGGGAATCCCATGGACAGAGGAGCCTGGCCGGCTATAATCCACAGGGTCACAAAGAGTTGCTCACGAATGAAATGACTGACCTCACATGCTTATCTAGAATCTGCTGTCCTACAGACAGACAAGTGGGTAGATGTGGAGCTCTCGAGGACTGTGGCTTCTTGGTGGGAGAGAACAGCTCATGAGCTCATGATTAGTTCTATCTTGGGCTCAGTGTGTGACCTCTGTTGCTCCAGTTCTTTGGTCTGTAAAGTGGGTGTTGACCAAAGAACTTCCCACACAGAAAATAAAAGGGACCAGAAACTCACCATGGAGATAGTTTGGTATTGAGGGATGACTTATTCCATAATCTTTATCCAAAATGTCTTTTGAAGGTAACAATTTTATACAGTTGAGCCCACATTTAATGTAATTGCACAATTATTAGGCATAAGCATTCTGGAAAATGTTCCTTTTGTGTGTGAATATGTTTTAAATAAAAAACAAACAAATATAGTTTGTCTGTGATGCATAATTCAGTGGACTTAATGATTTTCCCTTAAAGACATTTAATGAATATTTTGTAACTTGAGCGGGGAGCTCAAATTTAGTCTTGGTAAGAGTCTTGGTCTTAATTCAGAATTAATTTTTGACTCAGTGAACTTTTCTGAAGAACTCTGAATAACAATGAGGTCCAGTTCTAAACATTCTTAGAAAGTCCTAGCTGCAAAGCACATTTAGTAAGAGTTGGTCAAAGGTCATGGTTAAAATGAATTTTCTGGTGTTAGGAACTTTATATTCTGAAAGATATATTGGCTTCTAAATAGCCTAATATTGATTTTTTTTTAAAAAATTGATCAGTTGGTCCTGGTTTTCACAGATATTTTATTATATTTTAATTTAAATATTATTGGTTTTATTATACTGTTTTATAAGTTTAGTGAATGAAAGAAAAGCTTTCTTTACTTGAGTGTTTTGGTGATAAATACTGCATCTTCATTCCTCCTGCATAGTGACAGGAGATAAATGATTTACTTTGGTCCTCAACTGTGTTTGTTTTTTTAAACATTTATTTATTTATTTTTATTTATTTGGCTGTGCCGCGTCTCAGCTGCAGCATATGGGATCTAGTTCCCTGCCCAGGGATCGAATCCAGTCCCCCTGCTTTGGAAGCGTGGAGTGTTAGCCACTGGACCACCAGGGACGTCCTCAACTGTATTTATAGCAAGAACCAAAACATGCAAGTATGACTGATGGGGGCCTGCCCCAAATTTCCCTTAATAAGCCCTTTCTTTACAGTATGCATGAATAATTATAAATAAAGATTGTAAATAGATCATTTAAAAGGCGTACTTTTTATTACACTTGGTCTAATTCATAACTTTCCCTGACCCAGACTGGCCTTTCCCCTCAAGTGGGCCAAATGGGCCAAACTGTCACACACGGCTGTCACCCGCGCTAGGAGCAGCACGGATTCCTGACCCGCAGGGATCAGAGGGACTCTGCGGGGTTAGCAATACGTTCAGAGCTCGTAACTTCAAGCTTCCATCGCTGACGTTCCGGCAGGCTGGACTCTTCGGTGACTTTACAATTTTTTTTCCTAAGGGGAATTTTTAAGGCGTGGGAAATTGGTGTTCCCTTGGGAACGACATGCGGAGAGTAGCGACCCATCGCTCGGGCAGGTCCTCTGCTTGCGCCACCGGTGCGGGTCCGTCCAGAGGGAGAGAAAAAGAGGGAAGACGGCTCTCCGGGGCTTAGCTGTCGGGTCGTCCTCTGCGGCGGGCGGTTCAATCAATGGGAAGGAACAGTGACGCTTTCAAAACCGAAGGGGCCGTGAGACTTTGCGGAGAGCGACTGCGTTTAGGAGCGCGTCCGCAACTACGCAGCCGCTGGGAACGGGCGCGGCCTCGGAGACCTCGGGCGGCGACCACCGACCTTGGGCGGGGGCGGGGCGAAGCTGAGCCGAGCGGGGCGCACGTGGCTCCGACCGCCCGGCCTCGTTTTCTTCCGGCCTCGTTTTCTTCCCTCGTACAGTGAATTCCCAGAAGGGTTCTGAGGCTTCTGCTTGGCAGCAAAATTATTCCATTGTCTCCGATGGTGCCAGAGCGGCACCCCCGCCCCCGAGGCAGTCTCAGAGCGTCTCTTTGGAACCGGGCGAGAGCCGGGCCTCCCTGTTCCTCTGAAAGCGCAGCAATGACGAACAGGGAGAGAAAGTGCTTGGTGCCGATCGAGGCTTATTATATAGGTCTCCAAGCGTTCCGCATCCCCCTGCTGAGAAAATCATGCCTTTACCTGTGCTAGGATTTATGGCGCGGTTCATTTGCAAGTGGAGAAGACCCGAAAGCTGGGAACGGACCAGCGCTAGCTGCTGAGACATCCTGCAGAGTGTTTCAAAGGTGGGTGCAACATGGTGTGGGGGCCCCGCAGAGGATGAGATGGTTAGATAGCGTCACCCACTCAATGGACATGAATTTGAGCGAACTCTGGGAGATTGTGGAGGACAGAGGAGCCTGGCTGTGCAATGGTTCATGGGGGTCGCAGAGTCAGACAGGACTTAGCTAGTGAACAACAACAAAAGCAACAAGGTTTAAACATCTGGTAGGTTCTTCCTCTGGGTTTCCACCACCCACCCCAGGGGCAATAATACCACACTCCTTTGGCTGTGGCCCTGTGTAGCATAGGGTACCTGGCACATTCCCTAGGACCTGAGCTACCTGGAGGGGGGACCCTAGGCTGTTACACGCACCACGTGTAACTGTCTTATACAAGCAGATGATGGCAAGTCCTTCCAAAGCTTGGGTGCCGACAGGTGGGAGATTGGGCAGAGAAGTGGAGGCATGACTCCAGAACCTTCTCTTTCCCCCCCCCCTCCCCAATCTAGACATGTTATATTAAAACTGCTGAAAACCAAAGATAAAGTGAGAATCTTGAAGGCAGCCAGAGGAAAAAATTACGTTACACTCAGAGGAACAAAGATAAGAATTGTATCTTTAAAGAGCTAAAAGAAAAAATACCGTCAACTCAAAAGGCCATACCCAGTGAAAATATCTTTCAAAAATTAAGGCAAAAATACAGATGTTTTTAGAAAAACAAAAGCCAAGAATTAATTCTTGTGCTATTAGAAACATTAAAGGAAGTTTTTCATGCAGGAAGTATATGATACCAGGTAAAAATTTGGATTTATATCAAGAAATGAATGACTCCAGAAATGGTAACAATGAAGGCGAATATAAAATACTTTTAGGGCTTTCTAGGTACACAGTCATATCACCTACGAAGGAGAGATTTACTTTTTATCCCCTATTCTTATACCTGATGCTCTGAATCACAGGCCCAGTAGTTGTGGTGCATAGGCCTAGCTGCTCCTCAGCATGTGGAATCTTCCCAGCCCAGCAACTGAACCCATGTTCCCTGAATTGGCAGTTGGATTCTTAACCATTGGACCACCAGGGAAGTCCTCTTATACCTCTTATTGATTTATCTTCTCTCACTGCTTTGCCTAATGCCTCCAGTACAATGTTGAATAGTAGAGGACCTCTTTGATTTATTGTTGATCTTATGGAAATGCCCTTAGTTGTTCAGTCGCTAAGTTGCAACCCCATGAACTGCAGCTTGCCAGGCTTCCCTGTCCTTCACCATCTCCTGGAGTTTGCTCAAACTCATGTCCATTGAATCATCCAACCATCTCATCCTCTGTCACTTCCTTCTCTGTTCCTCAATCTTTCCCAGCATCAGGGTCTTTTCCAACAAGTCTGCTCTTGATATCAGGTGGCCAAAATATTGGAGCTTCAGTTTCAGCATCAGTTCTTCCAATGAATATCCAGGGTTGGTTTCCTTTAGGATGACTGGTTTGATCTCCTTGCTGTCCAAGGAACTCTCAAGAGTCTTCTCCAACACCACAATTCGAAGGCATCAGTTCTTTGGCACTCAGCCTTCTTTATGGTCCAACTCTCACATCCATACATGACTACTGGAAAAACCATAGCTTTGACTAGATGGACCTTTGTTGGTGAAGTAATGCCTCTGGTTTTTAATACGCTGTCTGGGTTTGTCATAGCTTTTCTTCCAAGGAGCAAGTGTCTTTTAATTTTGTGGCTGCAGTCACCATCTGCAGTGATTTTGGGAGCCCAAGAAAATAAAATCTAATTTCCCCATTAAATTAGACTCTAGCTTTAGGAACAAAGTATATATATTTTTATCATCTCAAAAAACCTCTTATCCAGTTGCCCTGGTGGCTCAGTGGTAAAGAATCTTCCTGCCAATACAGGAGAGATGGTGGGTTCAACTCCTGATCTGGGAATATCCTACATCCTGCAGAACAACGAAGCCTGTGCACCACATCTATTGAGCACAGCTCTGCTCTAGAGCCTGGGAGCCACCGCTACTGAAGCAGCCCATACTGAAGGGCTACTGAAGTGTGCCCCACAGCCTGTGCACCACAACTAGAGAAAAGCATACCCAGCAGCAAAGACCCAGCACAGCCAAATAAACAAATAAATAAAATTATTTTTTTATAAAACCACTCATCAATTTCACTCCAGAGCCTTCTATCTGTCACATACTTGCTGTGGCTTTGAGGAAGTCCTGTAAACCTCTGTCTGGGACCCCAGTTTCATCCTTTGCCAAACAGAGGATGGTCAGTGGCCTCCTGGGGTTCTGGGGTCATCTGACTAACAGGACATAGCAGTGAGTGTCCACTGGGGGATGAGGGAGAACAGTATCCTGACTCCAGTATCACTCAGCTCCTTCCCCTGAGCCTGTTCAGCACAAACCTCCTTTGCACTGAGGCCTGAAGTCAGCCAGCAGCTCAGGATAGCTGTAACCATTTAGGAGAGTGAGCCTGTGTATACTAATTAGTTGATATAAAGATCAAACTCAGATTCTAACCAGATTTTCTAAGATAAGCACTTTGCAGAGAGAAATGGACCTGAAAGCAGGTGTCTGGAGGATTAAAATGGCATTCAGTCTGCTAGGCAACTGCATTGTAGAAAGACTTCTTTATTAAAAAAAAAAAAAGCTGTGGCTGCAGTCAAAATCTGGGGGAAGGTTGAGAGAGGATGGGGAGGAGAGGTAACTTGTATACAGACCCACAGCAGGAAAGTTTGGCTGAGAACATAGCTCCAAGCAGGGTGGCTCAAGGAGAGGGAACTGGGGTGGTACTAAGACCCTGGAGAGTCTTAGTAACAGGGGGACTAAAGGTGTCCTGGGTTGGACCAGTGTCCCTCAAATATTTGTGTCTGCCTGGAACCTGTGAACGTGACCTTATTTGGAAACAGGGTCTTTGCAGATGTAATCCAGTTTAAGGTGGAGCCCCACTATCTTAGGGCGGGCCAGAATCCAATGGCTGATGTCCTTATAAGACAAGAAAAGCTTGGACACAAAGGGAAGATGGGCATGGGAGGATGGAGGCAGAGACTGGAGTGATGCTGCTGCAAGCCGAAGAACGCCAAGGACTGCTGGTGTCTTAGTCCCAGCTGATATAATAAAACAAAATGTCACAGATTGGACTTCCCTGGCAGCACAGTAGATAAGAATCTGCCTGCCAATGTAGGGAACATGGGTTCAATCCCTGGTCGGGGAAGATCCCACGTGCCAGAGAGCAACTAAACCTGAATACCACAACTAGTTGCAGACCCCACACGCTGCAACTGCTGAAGCCCAAGTGGCTAGAGCCTGTTCTCCTCAACAAAAGAAGCCACCACAATGAGAAACCCCATGCCCTGCAACTAGAGAAAGCCCACGTGCAGCAACAAAGACCCCCTGTAACCAAAAATTAAAATAGATAAATTAATTTTAGAAATGGCACAGATTGGGGGGCTTAGATGGCTGCCTTCTTCCTGTGTTCTTACATGGCAGAGAGACAAAGAGACAGAAAGATCTTGTCTTTCTTCTTATAAGGGCACTAATCCCATGATGGGGGCCCCACCCTCATGACCTCATCTAAACCTGATTACCTCCCAAAGGACTCAAGTCCAATCACATTGGAGATTAGGGTTTCAACATTTGGATTTGGAGAGACAGGTATTCAGTTGATAATATCCGGGAACCACCAGAAGCTAGAAGAAACAAGGAAGTATTCTCCTCTAGACCCTTCTGAGGGAATGTGTTCTGTGGATACCTTGATTTCAGATTTCTAGTGTCCAAGACTGTGAGAGAATAAATTTCTTTTCTTCTCTTTGGAGGGTGTATCAGTCAGTTCATCAAGTTTAAAAGATAGCCTTATCAACAGATAGCAATTATCTGCTTTATACTGTCAGGTCTTAACTTCATAGAGCAAATCAGTAAGAATCACGTATTGTGAAAATGCAGCTGTCTCACACACAGAACCAACAGCATGGAATCATACATGACCTAGACTGGAAGACAAAACCATAGCATCTTCACTAGTATCTGACTCCTGCCTCCCTCCCCAGCTTCACCGGGGACCACTCTCCCCTTGCTCAATATACTGTAGTCTCTCTGGGTAACATTCTGCTTCTTGATAACGCCAAGCTCTTCTCTGCCTCAGGGTCTTTACACATGCTTCTCCTGCCTGAATTCTGGCTCTTCACATGATGAGCTTCTCCTTGTCCTTCAGACCTTGCCTTCGATGCCAACTCTTCTGAGAAGCCTTTCCTGACCACCCTATCCATTAGGGCAGAATAATACCCCTCCTTCAAAGACATCAACTTCACAGTCCCAGGAACCTGTGAGTATAGTGAGTTTCCTGCAAAGGGGAATCAAGGTTGCAGATGGAATTATGTTTGCTAATCAACTGATTTCATGACATCATCCTGGATTATCTGGGTGGGTCCAGTGTAATAGTAAGGGTCCTTAAATGGGGATGGTGACTGCAGCCATGAAATTAAAATATGCTTGCTCCTTGGAAGAAAAGCAATGACACACCAAGACAGCGTATTAAAAAGCAGAGACATTACTTTCCTACAAAGGTCTGTGTAATCAAAGCTACAGTTTTTCCAGTAATCATGGACAGATGTGAGAGTTGGACCATAAAGAAAGTTGAGCACTAAAGAAATGATGCCTTTGAACTGTGGTGTTGGAGAAAAGTCTTGAGAGTCCCTTGGTGAGCAAGGAGATAAATCCAGTCAATCCTAAAGGAGATCAGTCCTGAATATTTATTGGAAAGACTGATGCTGAAGCTGAAGCTCCAATACTTTGGCCATCTGATATGAAGAGGCAACTCATTGGAAAAGACCGTGATGCTGGGAAACACAGAAGGCAGGAGGAGAAGGGGGCGACAGTGGATGAGATGGTTGGATGGTATCACC